CAGAAGAACTCCTATATTCACCCTTATCGTTGTCCCTTGGTAACCCTGATGTTGACGATACCTCATATGGTAGTTTCCCAAAATAAGGGGACCCCAATATAGACCCCAAAATACTATAGTCTTTATTATTGGGACCCCCAAAATGGTACCCCTAATTTTGGGAAACTCCCATATGTCCCTAAACCCTTAAACCCTAAACCCTTAAACCCTAAACCCTAAACCCTTTTTTTTTTCGGCAAATATGTTGCGCGTTCATGCGACTTCTGGGGAGCCACTGGCTACCATTCCTTCCGAGGAGTTGACGGAATCTGGGTCATTGTTGAAAGGATTTAGGGTCTAGGGTTTAGGGTTTAGTGTTTAGGGTGTAGAATTTGCTGTTTAAGGTTCACCGAATTCGTGTGTCTCTACGAAGGCCCAAGAGGAAAACATAACTGTTTTTTGTTTACATGAGAACCGTTTCCTCACGCAGAACCTGGACCGATGACTGGGTCTAGGGTTAGTTATCTGTAGGGGACCCCGGACTACAGTTCTGTTGAAGTATTAGGGCAAGCAAAATCAACGCATGCATCGAAACCCCGTAGAAATTCAGCGGAGCAGACCGCCTGCCTCAACCTAGAAGACGCCACTGGACCCTGAGAACAGTGTGCAAGCAACTAAGGATGTGAAATCCTTGAAGCATCCTGGTCTACTCTAGGCATCTGTTTGTTCCCGAGGGGTCCATCCAAGCATTCAGCAAGTACCTGGACACTTGGGATTATGATAGAGATAGCTATGTAGGGGATCTGGTTAGATGTATATAGGTACTTCGGAGCCTTACCCTAAGGGCCAAGAATTGTAGTTTGGTTTTAGGGCCCAAATACTATACTCTTATTGGTATTTGGGACCGAAAGCCTCAACATTTAAGGGTCCTTGGACCCTTAGGGTTAGGAACCTTTCGTACTTTGCGTCTGCTTTCGTGCAGCTGCCGTCTCTGGCGTGCGAGAGCGCGCATAATGTCAGAAGTGTTGTCGGGGCCTGAATAAAAGCCAAGATCATCACCCTAAACCCTAAACCCCGAAACAATTGCTAATATCATGTTGAGGTCTTTTTGAAGTGCCTTATACTAAGACTTATAACAAGGAGTTTGGGTAATTAGCTCTGCGAACCCCCCTAGAACCACAATATCCGTTGCATGTGGCGTTCTTTTCCATTTGATTCTCCGTTATTAGGGTTACACCCTACATAATCCCAACATACATGTACCCCAATATGAAACAGTAGTGTCCATGTTCTTTTCCATGTTTCACTTTCTCCCCTGCCTATGGAATCTCTTTATAACCCGTATGTCATAGGTGATTTTTGAGGCTTCTACACAGCTTAGGTGTATTCCTAGCTCTATGCTTGGCTTAGGGTTTAGGGACTTCCAGAAGACTCCGAGGGTTTGGGTGCAAACGAACTTGACTGTTTGGGCGCGACGCATTGCGCAGGCAAAATTCTTCCAAAAAAAGGGGATCTTAGCAGCCCCACCCCTGAAGTGAACCCGGCTCATGGTTTAGGACAGGTCATGTGATAGCTTTGGCGTCCTAATTTTGCGGTTGGGGTTACCAAGATCCTCGAACACCAAAAAGAGTCAGTCCGCGAAACCCTCAACCATATGGCCTGAACCCCAAACCCAAAGCCCAAGCCCCAACCCTAGCTGACTACATCTGACCCCAGCCAGGCTTAAACTCCGAACCTCAAACCGCAACCCCGTAAGGGGAGCTTCCAAAAACTGTAGTCTCCTTAGGATTTTTTACGTTTTCATTATAGTATAACCCTAAGGAGCTATAAAACATCATATTTTTGTTATAGGTCTAAGGAGACCACAGAAAAAAGGGGGAGTCTCTTCCAATGACCCCAATTTAAGTACCAGATCCTATGTTAGGACCACCAAAAAAAGGTTCCTGAATTCACCCCTCCTTTTCTTTGCCTGTCCAGTCGGCCTCAGGTCTCGTTTGAGTGGCATTTGCGGCTTACCGCGGTTTCGACGCTGGATCCTGTTATCGTTTCACAGCTGCGTAGATAACTTTCACGTTAACCGAAACCATTAGGGTTTAGGGTGAAGGGAAGTTGTTGCAAGCAGGATCCGTACACTCATCAAGGCGATCATCATGGTTCAGACATGGTTCCTGCATGGGCACCTTGCATTGACTGCCAGGAGTATCTGCAGGAAACCCAACGGGAATTATGCGCACTCACCAAGACCATAATGGATACCCTGCCCCACAAGGGGAATTTTCAGAAAAGATCGAGATCTGTAGATTGAATGGTTTCCCTTGTGCGATCTTACACACTAAACCCCCAACCCACCAAATGTTTCTTGTTTGTTCGTTTGGGCTTTACATGTTTGCGCCATCGTTCAAGGAGCTCCAGATCTAAGAGATGTCAGGAGTAGACCCTTTTAGGGTTGAGGGTGTAGGACGCCTTAATCTTCTGAACTCGCTGCCCGAAGACTCTCAGACCCTTCTGGTGAAATCCGAACGCCCAACCCTTTCGCTAGAAAGCCCAAGACAATCCGAAGTAAGAGACTTGTGGCCTTATGGCAGGAGCTTCGGGTTCAGGGTTTAGTTGATTTATGGAAAACCCGGGAAGTGGAGCATAGGGATTATGCCCTAGACGCTGTTGTAGGGACTACTGAAAGGATCCAGTCTTGCATCTCCTGCTAAGCACCAGGTAGTAAAGACATGCGGTTTGGGGTTTGGGAGATGGCGCAAGTGATCTGCAGCTAAATGCCCAGCGCGAAAGCGCTTTACATCCTGAAATGTAGGGGCCGATGACAAGAGTCTGCTTGGGCGAGGCCATAAACAGGAGGCCACAGTGTAGACGGCAGTACTAAAGGGTTTAGAGTGTAGTGTTGAGGGTTAAGGTAATATCCTTATCATAGGAACTACTGTCAATATTCGGGTTACCGAGGGACCATTCACGTTGCGTAATAGAGTAGTGCCTTATATATTCCCGAAAATAGGAACCCGTGTCCATTAATTGTATGGAAACATTGACTGTAACTCATGTGGAGCCCCAAGCACCCTAAACCCTAAACCCCTAAACCCTAAACGACCCCTAATTTTGGAAACCGCCCCACACGACCAGGGCAGAGGATTCTTCGCGATGCTGTAGTTCTGGAAGATCAGGAGCCTTGGCTTCTGTTTGCGCGGCCAAGATACGTAATGGTTTGGTTTTTTAGGGTTTATGGCGGGCACACCCTGCAGATGGTGATTCCTGGAGAAGCGCTCCAAAGCCACTGCATTTCTGGAGTTGGAATGACGAATTTGTCGAGCTTCTGGTTTCATAGTTTAAGGTGAAACCTTCATAGGCGGGATTACAATTTACTGGCGGTCAAAAGATTGGAGTCGACCAAAACCTTCCAAGGCTTTGAGATTTCCGTGAGCAGGTTTGACACTGGGTTGCTGCTAAGTATCTTAAAGTAAGTTACTGTACCAAAGAAGCCATGGTAATTACTTCATTTCCATGTTTCGGTACTTGAGTTCAAGTTCGTTAAGGAACCCAGCTGAGGGTCCAGGGTACAGTTTAGGATTTAGGATATAGGGTTTAGCGTGAGGTTAATGGTTTAGGGTATATAGGCCAGCGACTTGGCTTTTGGCGGCTTCTGTTCATGTAGGGTGCAGGAAGACATGTTTGAGTTGAGCATTAAGGGTGACCATGTCTTCGTGGCCAGAGGCGTGCAGCAGGATTAGAGGGAAGCTCGTGTCCCTCGGGAAGCTTTGTACGCCTAAGAGCCCTGAAACCTAAACCCTATACCCTAAACCCTATATACACCAACTAAGCTTAAACCCTAGAATTCGTGCAAGGAGAAGCTTGCTTCGACAATGGATTTGCAGCTGGTGCTCCTGCCATTCTGTGAGACGAGCCGTTGCCTGGTCCAGGGTTCAGATTTTCAGGTTTAGGTTCTCTTAGGAGTTCAGGGTTAATGGCAAAGAAAATGGAAACTACGGGGATAATACGGGAAAAGGTGTATATATTGGGATACATTGGGGTCATATTAGGGTTATATATAGGGGATATATAAGGATCATGGAAAAGAAAATGGAGACGACTATAGTATGCGTAACAGGTATATATAGGGGAAATGTAGGGGTTATTTGAGGGTTATATCTGGGTAATGGAAGAGAAAATGAAAACTGCTAAAATAGGGTTTAAGGTTTAGGGTTAGAGTTTTGGGGCGTTTGGTGTTTCTCGCTACCGCAGGCTCAGAGTATTGGGTCTACTTGGCCCTCATGGAACCTCTTGAGTTTAGGATGATATACCACAAAAAATTGAGGCCTAAACCCCAAACCCTAAACCCACAAAAATTGAGGCCTAAACCCTAAACCCTATCCTAGAAAGGTGGGTTTCTGCAGGGCCCACATGCGGGGGTCGAGGGTGCCCAGACCGTCGACTTCAAACTGGGTTGCTGCTGAGGAACTTAAGTACCTAGACCCTCCTCCTACCCTCTATTAGGGCCTAAGTACCTATTATTAGGGACCATATATCCCCAATTAAGGGTACAAGGAGGGTCCTGGTAGAAATATGGCGTTTCCTTGTAATTTATGGTACCCCTAAACCTGAAATCCTAAGCTTTATCCTTTTCAATGTTACAGTAACGTAATTTAAGTTCCTTAACAGCAACCCGAAAAAGGACAGCTCTAAGAGCCTGAGGGTCAGCCTTAAATGCTCCCCTGAAGAAGTAGGGTTTAGGGTTCCGGATTTCCGGGTTTGATGAAGACAGGCCATACCGTACTTGGGGCCATTCTGAGATTGGTGCAAACCCTCCAGGATTCAAAGCAAAAGTGAGTACAGGCTCTAAAGAGGGTTAAGGCTGGGAGTATGGAGGGGATAGACATGGATTATCCCCATGTTCTGTTTAGGGTTTACGGCTGAGGGCTATGCATTCCCCATGCTATGCCTAGACCATTTGGGAACAGATATTTGGACATCCCCACCGAACTCCTGAGCGGTGAGCTTCAAACGGACAGTTGAACACAGCTGGAGCCCCTAAGGGTCCAAGAACCCAAATACTGTGGTTTTAGGGCCCAACTACGATACTCCTCATGGTATTTGGGACCTAAAGCCCGAACATATGGGCCCTTGGACCCTTAGAGAGCTGCAGGCGAGGAAGTAGCCGCGTGCACAGCTGCTGCTCAATATGGTTGGGTTTCTGAGCTGGAGCGTGTCTCGGCCACTGGGTTTACTGCGTTGCTGTCACGGAACTTAGTTTAAATTACTATAATAAGGGTATATCGGGGGAAGTGATATAGGGGTATATAAGGATGTATGGGGTTCAGGGTTAAGGAACTTTTTGAATTATTATATGGGGGAAACCCTATGAATCACTGTATATACCGTTATAGTACCTTACTTCAAGTTCTTTAACATCAACCCAGTTTAGGGTTGTACTTGTCGGGCTTCGTGTTTGGAAGTTTCTAAGACATGTTGGCCGTTCTGAATTTACCAGGAGCTGGTCAAACACATATATAGATATAGAGTAATATATAATGTATAGTTTATAGTAGAGAATACAATATATATGTATATATGTATATACATATATATACTCCGTGGCACGCGGAAGATGGCCCTACACTCGACTAGCTTCAGGCATTAGAATTCGGAGAATTTGGTCAGAGAAGTGCTGTGACTTGAATTTTGGTATTCACGACTTTTACTTTCCGGCTAAGGGTGCGATCTCAAGGTCAAGGTGTAAAAGGGTGCTCTCCCAAAAGCTACAAGCCAACCATCTTTTTGGGGCTTGGTTTGGCTTCCATTTTTTGGGGGGCGAAGGTATATCCGCATGGAGCCCAGTCAAACTGAATAGCCGAAGCTTCTGAACTTTGTCTTGGTTTTCCCTTGCCTTGTGTTGGTTTTGGGTTGTTCTGTCAGTCATACACCCAACTATCATGGATTTTTGGCGGTTTTGAGCAGCGTGCAGAGTACAGAAATAGAAAGTCCTAGAAATCATCTGGGCCTTTGTCTGGCCCGCAGAGGTTCCGAAAACACCCCAGAATCCAAGAGAGGAACCTTAGACCTCTTAGAAAGCCCTCTAGTTCCAGGGTACCCCGAGGAAACCCCTACAGGCGCTCTATAGTAATACATTTCCAAGCTGAGGGCGGTGAACAGGTATTTTGGAAATTGAGACGTTCACATTCCTGGCCCCTGGAAAAGGGCAAGCTTTGTGGATATGGCCATGTACGACAACATGAAGACCCTCAACAATAGACAATTGGTCGAGCTTAGCTTTTCATGGCGTGTTTGCCTTTGCTTACAAGGCCTCGGGGCAGCCTATAAACTGCAGACCGAAAGGAGAAACTGTCACGAATCCTCTCACCCTTAAACCCTAAAGCCATCAGGAATCCTTTCGCTTCCGCAAGACCCGGATCTATGCGACGACGCCATGAGGATGGCGCCGCTGCATGCTGCGTGTGCGAATCCTGACCACAATGGCAGAGGGGGGTGTGCAATCGGTTCTGAGGCTTCCGCAACCAGAGCAGTATACATGCCCCAGCCCCCTTTGCACATTTACAAAAGTCAACTGCAGCGCTAGCAATGTCAGAAGCAAAAAGCCGGCGCATGAACAGGGTCTTAACACTCCCCACCACCATCCACAATGACTGCAAAAGGCACAATGTAAGTTTGTTTCCAAATGGGAACAAGGCTCATGTTTTGTTAGTGAGGCTCGGCACTAGTGCTTGCATAGATCGCAGCATTACATCTGATGCCAAACACTTGTCACTACCTTTTCTTCTAACTACTATGAGCACGACAGCTGTCCCCTGCCTCTTCCTCCTCCTTCTCCTCCTCTTGGTTCTGCTGCTTCTACTTCTGCCAAGTCTCTAAGTTTTTACTTGCAAGTATTGGGCCCTGGAATCTGAAGGTAGTACCTGCACTGGTCCTGTGAGCCTTTTTGCAATGAACTTTGCATCCTATTTTTGAAAATTCCTGCTGCTTCTTTTCTTAATACTATTCAAGCAATTCGGCAAACCTTCAAATCATGGGTCATTCCCCCTGACAGTAGTTGTCCTTGGGGGTCTAAGGGACGATTATAATTTTCATGCTACTCATTGCGGTAGGTAATTCTTTGCTGTAAGTGGGGCCCAACCTAGACCTCGTTTAATTTCGGAGCCTGAACCCTACACCCTAAATCCTGATCCCTAAACTGAATGCATGTTAGGGATCCTTTAGGGCTTGGGATTCCTTACGTTTATGTAAAAGGATCCTTTTGTCTTACTAGGGTAATGTGGGCCTAGTATGGCTTCGTAAACAAAACCCTAAGCCCTGAATCCTGACCCCCAAAGGAGCTATAGTCTAAACTCCTAGTTTCCCCCTTAATAACCCCCATTATACTCCCCTAAATAATCCCCCCATAGAACCCCCTTCAAGGAGTTTAGACTACAGCTCACATGAACCCCAGTATTTGAGCCCGGAGAGGCCCTAAACCCTAGACCCTGAACACCACCCAAAACCCTAAACCCTAAACCCTAAACCCCGTATTTGAGCCCGGTAAGGCACGGCCAGCTGGAGGCTGCTCGCTTGTTGCTGGAGGCTGGGGCGGCCAAGGACTCGTGACTGGGTAGCTCAGGGGGTAGGGTTTTGAAGGGTTTCAATAAAGGGATTTAGGGTTTAGGGTTTAGAAGGGTTATCAATAAAGGGATATATAAGCGGGGGGTATGTGGGTAATGTTGACTTCATGTTCAGAACTACTCCTACATTTATAAAATCCCGAGCCCGGAGCACAATTATAACTCCCAACACGACTATAATATCCCCCACAGGTGTACTTTTTTGCGGGACAAGAATTTCAATTAGCTTTCAATTAACTCTAAATTGTCTTCGCACCACCATCCGTGTGCTATTGGCAATGGTTGCCAAAGGGGTTTGCAAACACGTGCGGCGGGTTAGTAGGAAGTAAGGGAATCTATTCTACAGGGATTATATGGGTGGTTGTCAAAATTATGGTCCCTTTTTGGATCCCTATTATAATACGGCACCTAATTCTTAAGGTACCCAAAAAGGGATCATAGTTATGACATCCATATGGGGATTATAAAGGGTTCGCGAAAGGTTGAGCTGACCCTAAACCCTATACCCTAAACCCTTAAGCTTCGCCTTGCAGGCGGCAAAGCAAGCTCTCTGTTGCTGGCAGATGCAATTCTCAACGTAACATGGCATGTTGTGTTCCTAGACCTTTCCTATACCTTCTATTATACCCTAAATACCCACTATTAGGGACCATATACCCGTATTTAAGAGTACAAGGAGGGTCCTGCTTAGTGGATAGGATATGGCCAACTTGCAAGTTGTGGGTGTTGTGCTCGTCGCTAATTGGTACGCAAAAGAGCCAGTGCCAGGAAAGGCGATATGGAACGACCCTCATATGGGGCTTAGAGTTTAGGGGTTCCCTTTTTGAGGCGTCGCATAATGATGGGGGTTATCACAACGAGGGCACCAACAATGATAGGAGTGTATTTGCGATAAATAAGGACACCACGTCATTTCTGGAAACTCCCCACGTTACGCTGCGAACGTTGCTGAACTTTACTTGGCCGGGTTCCATGTACGTCTGCACATTCCTGCACTGTGCAGCTCAACGTATCACTCAGTAGCCTTCACTGTGTGTGATAAGGCAATTGGTCTTAGATTGGATGCGGCCCTCACATGTCGAAACCACAAGCCCTACATGATCCTTGTAGAACCCTTGAAAAGAATCGCTAACATCCCTATTCAGCACGCATACATAAGTCTCTGAGGCCCTTGTTCTGAGGAAAACTACTACCTAGACCCTCCTTCTACCGTCTCTTATACTTATACCCTAAATACCCACTACTAGGGAGCATGTACCCCTATTTAAGGGTACGAGGAGGGTCCTGGTATATGACCCTGCGCAAAGCCCCTGAAACAACCATTGGAAGGATGTGGGCGCGTATTATGGAACCCCGCTACATCTGGCTGCCGGCAATGGCAACGTGCAGATAATGCGCTTTTTGCTGGAGATACCCGGATTGGAGTTTACTTGGAGTGTCAGGGGGACTAGTAATTAGGTTAATAATGTGGATACTTAGGGATTCTAGATAGGTTATAGGGGTCATTGACCTACTTACTAAGTCCCCCTGACCCTCCGAGTAGGGTTCAGGGTGTAGGCTTTAGGATTCGGTGGGGTCCGAAGTCTAGAATCCGACCCTCATCTGAATCTGAACCCTAATGAAGTCCGCAAGTGTTACCTATTTGGATCCCTACTATACCAGGACCCTTCTAATTAGTACATTTTTTTTTGGAGGGGGGGGGAAATACTTACACAAGACATATTAAATTGGAACCCTTGGGGCTCCAGTTCCACAGCCTGAAGGTAGGAATGTTGTGCTTCTGGGCTTCGAGTTTGACATCTGTAGCCATGGTTCTTGGCCGAGGTGTTTGCACGTTTGGTTACTTTACGTTTGGGAATGTAGCAGACTAAATGATTACCAATGTTATTTTCCTATATTCCCTGTATAATGATGGTTTAGGGGTCCAGGGTGCTTCAAATAGGCCTCAAAATCATATTGGTAATTATTTACGCCCCTACACTGCACATGCAACCGGCCACCGCAAGAAATGCGCGTGACGTGACAAAGATCAAGGAATGGCGCGGACAAGAACGCTGTTGACAGAGCTGGAAGCTCGCCCTCTTCATGATGGCTTAGGGTCCTTATAGACCCTAAATACTGTAGGCCCTAAGCCGGAAACTCTACGCATCGGGTCCTGACAGGCATCTTTGGACGTCCCCCAAAATCATGATTCCCTGAACCTACCGGAATTTGTGGACTTCATACGCCAAAAAGGTTTTAGGGGTTTAGGGTGTCCGTAAATCGCGGGCTCCGATAAAGACCTTGATGTACTGAAATCAGTATGGGGACGCCCAGCAAAAGATCCCCCTGATTTTCCAAAGCCCCCTTACCAACATCATGGTCCCAGCGCCCTTGTATAACTACAGTATAGGGTACTTCAAACAGACCTGAACCATGTTGTACATCATTTAGGCCCGTACATTCCACAATCCCTGCAAAAGCCCTTTGTAAACCCAGTGTCTACTTCATTGACCGTTTTCTTTTCCATTTGGTTCTCCATTACTGAGCCCCAAACACGTAAAGCTTAATCCATAAACCCAAATCCCTATAAACCCTATTCTCGAAACCCTAATCCCTGAGCCCTAATCCTTAAGCCCTAACCCTTAATCCCTAAACCCTAAAGCCCGAAGTCCTAAACCCTAAGCCCTACAAGCCCTAAACTCTATTCCCATATAAACCCTCAAGCCAACTCGCAGGGGCACAAAGCCCAGGCGGCACGGCTCTTCACAGCGCCTCCTGCGAGGGCCATCTGGATGCTGTAAGAGCGCTCTTGCAATGGGGTGTCCTGAAACCTAGCAGATCCGTGCTTTTCCGTTTTGTTTTTTCTTCTGGTGTTCTCCTATAGGGGTTTAGGGTTCGGGGCTTGAGGGCTTGGGGTTCCAGATGCAGCACTTTTACTATCCTACCCCCTGGCGTACTACTCCCCGTAGGTTCTACCTAAAGGTTCATGAAGAGGAACTTAGGGAGGGTAGTAGGGGAACCCATGAATTTGGGGATTCAGGCTTTGGGGGGTTCAGGGCTTTAGACAGATCTGGGTTTTGTTTTTTTGGGGGGGGTTGTCGGTTGATGTTTTCGAGTATGGGGCCCCACTTCCCGAATCCTTAGACGCCTTAGGGTTAGTTAAGGGCTTAGAGTAGATCATTCGGGTTATAAAAAAAAGGGTAGATCAGTTGAACACAGTCATGATTTGAGGGGCGCACGGGTCAGTCAGCCTTAGGGTGCAAGTGTGAGGTTGAGTGTAGCTGTAGGCGTGAGATGCGGTGTAAGGTTTTACCCATCCTTGGTAAAGGGTTTAAGGTTTTAGGGTTTAGGGTTTAAAAGGCTTAGGGCTTAAAGTTTTTTTCGTCTGCCAACCCTCTTAAGAAAGCGGGCTCCAAACCGTTGCAGGAATGGTTCGAGCTTATGCAGGAGGGAGGGCTTTTTTAAAGCCTCGGCGAAAGTCCCCCAAACCCTAGCCGCTAAACCAAAAATTCATCCCATTTCCAAAGTGAGATTGGTAAGTATTTCTGGGACCTAAAGAATGAATCGTCACACTTCCTTGCTTCACTGCATGCAAAAAACGCCTCCTTGATGGCGGCTTTATGACTGAAGTTTGTTGTTTAATATTTAGGGCCTAAACGACAGCTGCCCAGAGCGCCCAGTGCACCTTCCTTTAGGAATCTGCCTTAAGTGACCCTCAACCCTAGACCCCTAGACACCTAGGTTTAGGGTTTCGGGTTAGGATTTAGGGCTTAGGGTTTTTCAACTTTAAATCCTGAAGTATTAAATTAAATGCTATCAGGATCCATGTCTTGCTTTAGGGTGTGGTCTTTAATTCAGGGGTATAGGGTTCGCATGGATGCTTTGGGTCTATGCCTTCTCAACCGTAAACCCCAAACGCCAGGCTCGAAACCTCAAACCAGAAACCCCAAACCTTGAAAACCTCAACCCTAAACCCTAAGCCCGAATCCCTAGTGTTCCTCCGAGTAGTCGTGGACTCAAAGTCCACAGCCCAGGAAGGATGTGGCCGACAACGACGGTAAAACTGCCTTGCATCATGCGGCGTCGATGCCTGCCTGCAGTCTACTTGAGCTACAGCCTAAACTCCTAGTATCCCCCTTAGCAACACCAAAAAAAAGTAGTGCCCTATACAATCCCCTATAAAACCCCCTTCAAGGAGTTTAGACCCTAAACCCTAAATCCTAAACCCTGAACCCTAAATCCTAAACCCTAAACCCTATATAGTCCCGTATATAACCCCCTTTTAAGGAGTTTAGACTATAGCTCACTTGGGGTTTGGGGTTTGGGGATTTAAAGAGAGAGGACGGCTTGAGGCATTTCCGCCTTTTCTACCAGAAAGTGAGCAGGCGTCGTCCTTGGCTTGAGCCGGTTTAGGGTTTGGGGTTAAGGTTTAGGGTTTGGGGGTTGGGGTTTAGGGTTTGGGGTTTAGGGTTTGAGGGTTTAGGGTTTAAGGTTTAGGGGGTCGAGGGTTTCGAGTTTCGGTTTTAAGGTTTAGGGTTCGGGTTCTGCCGACGTGAAGTGGTAGTTGAGTACCCCTAATCCACACAACAGCTGTGGGGCAACTTTGGGATTGCAATCATCTCTGCCAGTTTTTCTTTTGAGGTCCCATTCTGGAGCCACAGAATGCCCACAGTCTTCTCTTTTGTTCCTCAAAGTATCCACCTGCTGACTTAGGACCTAAAGCACTTTGCTGTCATTGTCGTGCAAGCTCTTGTGCGTGAGCCCTGAGTCTTACTAAGTTAGGCTCGAAACCGAGGATTCAGGTTCAAGGTGTCTCCCATATGAGCCATAATCTAAACTCCTTAAAAGGGGGTATTATAGCGGATTATATAGGGGACTACTAGAAGGGTTATTGAGGGGGATACTAGGAGTTTAGACTATAGCTCATATTCCCTCAACTTCAGGGCAAGCCACACAAGGGGAGAGGAGAGGCGCGCACAAAACAAGGCAGCAGGCTCCATGAACCCTGAGCCTCTTATTTCCCCAGGATTTGCTTGGCATTTTTAGTAGGGTAGAACCCTAAACAAGTATTGAAAGTTATGATTTTCATTATACGAGTAAGAGCATTACAAACACACCCTTTTGCGCCTAACCCTAAACCCTAAACCCTAAACCCTAAACCCTAAACCGCTTCAGGGTCAGAAGTCCTGGGTTCTAAAGCCGAACTCCCCAAGCTCAAGATTAGGAGTACCATTTTGGGAGTCCCAATACCTGGACC